CATTTTAATAAGAACCATTGACCCACAACGCCTAAGGCTAACACTAAAAAACAACACAACAATTGATTTGAAATACGCTTATTACGGCGAAGTATGTTGCTATCTCGAATTCAATACTTGCAATAGAAATGCCACTCAACTTCAAAAGATTGCAGTTTCCTGCTCGCTTGGTATTTGCTATGAAATAAATAAATCCGAAGAACAAACCCTTCGTGTATGTATGTCATGTTACTGCTTTTCTAATGGCTTTGGTTATTTACGCATTAAAGTAGTGCAATAATTTTTTTTTTAATTTTTAAATTTGTTTTTTTTTTAACCAACATATATTCGTAAATAAAATTTTGAATGCATATTAAATCAAAAGGGGTAGCGAAGCGCACCGGGTTCAGCTAGTATATATATATATATATATATATATATATATACTTATATATTTATATATATATATATATATATATATATATATATATATATAAAGGGGTGGCGCTTCGGCGTTGTGGGCCAATCGTTCTTATTAAAATCATATCCCAATCTGATCCGATTTAAATATAATTTTAAAAAATTTACTTTTACACCAAATTCCGCCACAACTTTCATATTTCATTGAAATTGGTGCGTCAAATATGTGAAATCGGCCGAGAATATATATATGGGAGCTATATCCAAATCTTAACTAACTTCCAATTAATTGATCACATTTATTATTATAACCACTTTCCGCCACACAATCTGAATTTCATTGGAATCGGTCATATATATCGTGTTTGGTTCATAACATGTATGAAGTCGGCCGAAATATATATATTAGCTATACCCAAACCTCAACCGATTTCAATATAATTTGGCAATTTTTTTCTGGTGCCAGATTTCGTCTCTCTCGCTTTGGGTGCATCAAATATGTTAAATCAGCGGAAAATATATATGGGAGCTATATCCAAATCTGAACCGATTTTAATATAATTTGACTAATTTTTTTTCTAATCAAAATCCCATCACATATTCCAAATTTTTTTGGAATCGAATGTACATATCGTGTATGGTGCGTAAAATACATGAAATCGGTCGAAAATATATATGAGAGCAATATCCAAATCTGAACCGATTTCAATATAATTTGTCAAACGTATATTCGTTTTAATTTCCGCTACACATTCCAAACTTCATTGAAATTAGAGGTACATAGCGTGTTTGGTGCATCAAATACATGAAATCGGTCGAAAATATATATGGGAGCTATATCCAAATCTGAACCAATTTCAATATAATTTGACAAATTCATTTTTGCTCCCAATTTCATTACTTATTTTAAATTTCATTAAAATTGGACATACATATCGTGTTTGGTGCACCAAATACATGAAATCGGTCGAAATATATATGGGAGCTATATCCAAATCTGAACCGATTTCAATATAATTTGATAAATTTATTTTCGGATCAAATACCGTTAAACGTTCCAAATTTCATTGGAATCGAACATTCATATCGTGTTTGAGGCATCAAATGAACGAAATCGGTCGAAAATGTATATGGGAGCTATATCCAAATCTGAACCGATTTCAATATAATTTGACAAATTTATTTTCGGATTAAATCCCGTCACACATTCCAAATTTCATTGGAATCGAATATTCATATTGAGTTTGAGGCATCAAATGAACGAAATCGGTCGAAAATATATATGGGAGCTATATCCAAATCTGAACCGATTACAATATAATTTGGCAAACTTATTTTTGTTCCAAATTTCGTTACGTATTACAAATTTGGAGACTGTATCTTCAACCAATCAATAGATATGTGCATATAATATCTAAATTTTTTGGAGGTACCTCCGATTCTGATGCTATATCTCCAGTTCCAAGCGGAAATTCAAAAATGTTTATAGCCTATGTTACTTTCAGGCGATGTTGCAGTATATATGGAAATTTTCAGGAAAATCTATTCAGCGGTTTTCGAGTCCATAAATTACAAACAACAAACAAACAAACAAACATACAAACATTTTCCTCTTTTATATATATATATATATAGTTTGATATATATATATATATATATATATATATATATATACATATATATATATATATATATATATATATATATATATATATATATAAAAGAGGAAAATGTTTGTATGTTTGTTTGAAATATATATATATTATATATATATAAATCGGCCGAAGATATATGTGGAGGCTATATACAAATCCGAACCCGATAAACTTATTGATTTGGGTTCTATTAAGCTTATAGACCTAAGTTTTGTACATAAAAATTCCTTTTTATTTCATTAATCCCGACGTTTTGCCAATGTTTGTTGACATCTTCAGGGGATACGTCTATTTAAATAAACATTACAGTAGGTCTATAAGCTTAATAGAACCCAAATCAATAAATTTACCTGTACCAAGAAAATTAATAATCAATAAATTATCGGGAAGCCTGCCGAATAATACACTATTAAAAATAAACATCTACACGATCATCAACCAAGAGCACAAAATTAAGAATTATTTCCAACACCATATAATTTTATTATTTCCAATCACCTATAAATATAACGAAGAAACTTGCAGGACTATGAAAGAATATTGCAATGAAATTAGAAGACTAGCACAACAAACCGAGAGACCCAAATTCCCATTGACTTGTCGAGATTATGGTATCATACCCCAACACACGAAAGCTACTAAATTAAGGTAAAACAACTGTTTTATTGTAATAAAATCACATCAAAATTAAGCAAAATTGAAGAGGACTTCCATAAAAACTCCTTGATTTCGAATTATCCCAAGCCAATGCCGACATAAAATCAACAAAAAACAAAATTTTCAACATGGAATCTGGAATAAAAACATTAATATTTGTTGCAGACTACACGTCTTTTAAAAACAAACAAAAAATCCGTTTAATAGAAATATCCCGAAAGATCAATAATACCCAACAACAAAAACTAAACAAATTAAAAGGAAACAGTTCGACAAATATGGCATAATTTTCAACGACGACTAGTTCGAGAACAAAACAAATGTCAATTTTCCTATGGAATGCAAGTGGATTTTATCACTTGGAAAAAAGTTTGCAATACCAATAGACAACAAGAATTTTGCACCACTACATACACTAGCTGACATAGAACACTGCATACAAATATCAGGAGAACATGAGAAAGAAGCATGTAGAACTAAAACTTTGACTTTTGACAATATATAAAAAAACATTAAAATTTTTGAAACAATACGACGACATCATAATAACACAAGCAGACAAAGGAAATAAGAAGGTTGCCATATACAAACAATAATACAAGAAGAAAATGGGGGAACTTCTTGATGATAAAAACACATATAGGAAACTAAGGGAAGACCCAACAACAAAATTACAAAAATTAAATAATAATATGGTCACTGATCTACATAAAAACAATGTAATTGACAAAGGGGAAAAAAGTGGCTATACTGCTCAGCATCTACAGCACCAAGGACTTACAACATAAAAAACTCAATAGATCTAAAAAAGAAACTTAAAGACACAATAATAAAAAATGACGATTTAATGATATCTTTTGATGTTATTTCCCTATTCACGAATATACCAGTCAATTTGGCAATAAAAATAATTATGAAAAAATGGGACACAATTAAAATATACACAAACATTCCCAAACAAAAATTCCTTAATATTTTAACTTTCTGTCTCAAAGACAATAATTATTTCAATTATGAAAATGAAATATATAATCAAATATTTGGGATGCCTATGGGAAACCCACTTTCGCCAACAGTAGCAGATATTGTTTTGGACGACCTTCTTGATAATACTATTCAAGAACTAAAAAATAAAGGCATCCTAATAAATTTCATAACCAAATATGTAGACGACACACTTTTAATCATCAATAAGAAATATATCAATCAAATTCAAAATACATTCAATAAATACCACCAAAAAATACAATTCACATTTGAAATTGAAACTAACAATTCTATTTCGTATTTAGATGCAAAATTAATAAGGAATGGGATTTGTATTAAATTTGACTGGTATCATAAAAGCATGGCATTGGGCAGAATTATGAATTACCATACTACACAGCCAAAATCTCAAATAATCAACACAGCTAAAAGTTTCATCATGAGAGTACTACGCATAAGTGACCAAGATTTCCACGAAAGTAACATAAACGAAATCACAACTATATTAATCAACAATAGTTTTCCGAAAAAAGTAATCACACAACTCATCCAAGACACAATACGAAAACTTAAGGATGGCAACCCTAACAATCGTGAGGAACCCATAATATTGCAGCTTAAAATACATCCCTGGCCTAACAGACAATAGAAACATGAAAATGATAATAAACAAAACACAAAACATATCCCGCTAGCAACATGAACTAGTTCGGCATCGGAAACTCGTCGATTCTCAGAGTTACGTAACTAGTTCCACTTAAGACCCCTCACAGTGCAAACAACTGTAAACTTTAACATGGGGATGTCATACGAGGTAACCTATTGGCTCCCTTTGCATTACCTGTAGATGGTACTTTACTAGTTCCAGGTTTACAGTCATATACCAGTGACAAAAGACTAACCTTTACCAAGTTCCAAGTACACAGCCACAGACTAGTGTCATCAGACTACCTTTTATCTAGTTCTATGTATACAGTTATGTACTAGTGTCATTTGACTATCCCTTATCTAGTATAAGCAGACCAATTTTAAACTGGTTTCCCATGAACTAGTTCAGTACCAATTATTGTTAGTGAAATTCTAATTTTTTAGTTTTAATTCATTTTTTATTGCAAACAAATGAATACAAATATACCTTACTCTATAAAACTTGAACAAAAATAAATTAAATTTAATATTTATAAAAGCACTTGTATTGCTTTTCGCAGTTGTGTTTCAGGGGTGTCCGAATATTTTGTAACTGGTATTGAATCTGGAAAAAATAATGTTTATATACACCTTACCTAAAATAACGCTGTATATATTACTTAGGGACTTCAAACCTTTTTCCATGGCTTCCCTCAATATAATACTCGTAGTAATATTTGAACCGATAACATTTTTAAACATTTCGATATTTCCTCTCCTTTTATAATTGATGCTATAATCTTTACCTAAAAATTAACAAAAATTGTATATAATCTATGTTTGTTCAGCAATACATTTAAAAAATACTTACATATATGTATTGATTCTCAATATTTTTCATAAGTGTTGGGGAACCTATTCGATAATGGTATCTCATCACTTTGAGATCGTAGCAACATCACCTTCAACTCAGCTAAAGCATCAGCTAAAATTTTGATTTGACCTATAGTGAAAACAAACAAATTAATAATTTGTAACAATTCTGAGAAGAATGCTATAATTTTACCTTGAATTACTTTTATTATTATTTTATTACCATTATTACTTTTACTACTCATTCTTACCTTTTTATTTGTTATTTTCAACACTTTATAACTTATTTGCACAGAAAAATGATACTTCACTTCACAACGATCAGAATAAGAATGCTTTTTCCAAACAAAACGCACTTGCATTCCTCAAGAATAACGGTGCATTGTTTATACCCTACACCACATAGTGGTAAGGGTATTATGTCTTTGTGCATTTGTTTGTAACATGGAGAAGGAAACGAGATAGACCATAGTTACTTTTGAGAACCTTCATAGAATCACTTTCTGAGTCGATTTATGCATGTCAGTCCGTCTGTCCGTCCGTCCGTCCGTCCGTCTGTCCATGTATTCTTGTGAACAAAATGCCGGTCGCATTTATTATCCGATTGAGATGAAATTTTCCAAACAATATTTTTTGGCCCAAGGACGAACCCTATTGAAATTGGTGAGAATCGGATCAAATTTAGATATAGCTCCCATATATATCTTCATCCGATTTCGGTTTAAATGTGCACCAAATGTCCACTATCAGTCCAAATTACCTGAATTTTGGCACACCCAACCGAGTTCGGCCTAGAAGCAAGTATATCAAATTTGGAGAAAATCGGTTCAGATATAGCTATAGCTCCCATATATATCTTTCATCCGATTTGATCTTTAAGTCCCTAACATTCCTACTATGCACTCCACAACCGTGATATTTGGTACCAGGTATTAGATGGAGCACAGAAATAGCTGTTTCAAATTTTATCGAAATCGGTTCAGATTTGGATATAGCTCCCATATATATCTTCATCCGATTTCGGGTTAATTGACCACCAAATGGCCAATATCAGCCCAAATGGCCCGAATTTTGGCACATGTGACCGAGATTAGCCTTAAAGCAAATACAACTAATTTGGAGAAAATCGGTTCAGAAACAGCTATAGCTTCCATATATATATTCATCCGATTTCGGGTTAAATGTGCACCAAATGTCCACTATCAGTCCAAATTACCTGAATTTTGGCACACCCAACCGAGTTCGGCCTAGAAGCAAGTATATCAAATTTGGAGAAAATCGGTTCAGATATAGCTATAGCTCCCATATATATCTTTCATCCGATTTGGTGTTTAAGCCTCTCACATTCGTAATATGCACTCCACAAGAATGATATTTGGTACCAGATATAAGATACAGCCCAGAAATAGCTGTTTGTAATTTTATCGAAATCGGTTCAGATTTGGATATAGCTCCCATATATATCTTCATTAGATTTCGGGTTAATTGTGCACCAAATGGCCGATATAAGTCCAAATGGACTGAATTTTAGTACATCGGACCAAATTCAGCCTAGAAGCAAGTATATCAAATTTAGTGAAAATCGGTTCAGATATAGATATAGCAACCATATATATGTTTCATCCGATTTAGAGTTTTAGTCCCATACATTCGTAATATTCACTGCACAACCGTGATATTTGGTACCAGGTATTAGATGGAGCACAGGAATAGCTGTTTTAAATTTTATCGAAATCGGTTCAGATTTGGATATAGCTCTCATATATATCTTCATCCGATTTCGGGTTAAATGTGCACTAAATGGTCAATATCAGCCCAAATCACCAGTCTAGAAGATAATACGTAAAATTTGGAGAAACCTGGTTCAGAGATAGCTATAGTTCGTAAAATGCACGATAGAATTAGATAGATTTTGATTTTGTACCAAATATCTCATAGAGCTCTGAAATGCCCTGTATAAACCTTTTTACGAGAGCTCTACTAAATATGCATAGTGGTGTAGGGTATCATATAGTCGGCCCCGCCCGACTTTTGAGCTTTCCTTACTGGTTTTTTATTGGTAATCTAAAAAAACTATTCAAAGTGGTTCTTGTTCGTAGAGATCTCATTCAAATGTTCGTTTGGTTTTTTCGTGGTGGTTTTTATTTATGCACAACTGTCGTTCTTTGCATTACTTGGGGACGAAAAGGTGTCAATTGGTTACCTTTGCATTACTTGGGGACACATTTGGTACTAGTCCGGCTTATATCTAGTATAGGACTGGTGAAATCGAGTTAAATGGAATTTTCATTGCCAGCGGGATGTTATGCTTACAAAGCAAACAAAACAATAAGTCAGATATTTTCCAACGTCAAAACACCAATCGACAAGCAACAACAACATAACATAGTATACGAAATAGAATGCAATGGAAATGACGAACAAAGCTGTGATCCTGTTTACATTGGTACAACAAAACGAACACTGCAAACGAGAATGGGGGAACATAAAACTGACATTGAAAAGGGAACACAAAAAACAGCTTTGGCGCAACATATTTCAAAGACGGGACACAAAGCAAATATTGAAAATGTCAAAATATTAGACAAAGAAAGCAAAGACGATAAAAGATATACGATAGAAAGTTTACGAATACAACAAAAAATAAAAAGGACGATGAATATCAAAGAGGACACAAACAACATAAGTGTTAGCTATCGCATTGCAATATAGTAATCTGTGATATTAGTTATTAAGGTTTTGTGTTGTTGAACTTGACGAAATACTTCATGTAAACTTAATCCAATTTTATTGTAAGTTATTTATGTATTCATGAAGATTTGATCTAATGTAATTTTTATTTAAATAGACGTATCCCCTGAAGATGTCAACAAACATTGACGAAACGTCGGGATTAATGAAATAAAAAGGAATTTTTATTTACAAAACTTAGGTCTATAAGCTTAATAGAACCCAAATCAATAAATCTACCTGGACCAAGAAAATTAATAATAGATAAACTTATTTTTGTACCGAATTTATTCATCATTCCAAATTTCATTGGAATCGGATATACGTATCGTGTTTGGTGCATCATATAAACCAAATTGGTCGAAAATATATATGGGAGCTATATCCAATTGTGAACCAATTTGAATATAATTGGGCAATATTTTTCTGTGTAAATCCCGTCACATATTCCAAATTTAATTATAATCGAACAAACATATCATGCTTGGTGCAACAAAAAAAAAAAAAAAACGAAATCGGCCGAAAATATATATGGGAGCTATATCCAATTCTGTATGGTTTTTAATATAATTTGGCTAAATTATTTATGCTCCAAATTCCGTTACGCATTCAAAATTTGGAGGGTGTATCTATAATGGATAAATAGATATATGCATATAAAATCTGAATTTTTGGGAGGTACCTCCTATTCTGATGCCACATCTCCAGATCCAAGTGAAATTTCAAAAATTTGTATAGCATAAGTTGCTTTCAGGCGATGTTCTAGTATACTTGGAAATTTTCAGGAAAATCTGTTCAGCAGTTTTCGAGTCCATAAATTACAAACAAACATACAGACATTTTCCTCTTTGAACTGGAGATATAGGATCAGAATCGGAGGTACCTCCCGAAAATTTAGATTTTATATACACATATCTATTGACCTATTACAGATACGGTCTCCAAATTTGGTTAACCGAATTTGAAACACGAATATATTTGCCAAATTATATTGAAATCGGTTCAGATTTGGATATAGCTCCCATATATATTTTCCGCCGATTTCACATAATAGATGCACTAAACACGATACGTACGTCCGATTGCAATGAAATTCTGCATGAGTGACTATATTTGGTACTCAAGTTTTATTACATTCAATGTATTAAATCCATTAGAGAAAATAAGAATTTTATGTTATTTTACTTGAGGTTTATATATATATATATATATATATATATATATATATATATATATATATATATATATATATATATATATATATATATATATATATATATATATATATATATATATGTATATATTGAAATCGGTTGATGTGTAGCTCCCATATATATATTAATATTTCGGCCGATTTCGTGTGTGTTATTCACCAAACACATATATATGACCGATTCCAATGAAATTCAGAATGTGTGGCGGAATTTGGTTACAATAATAAATTAGAAAATTTATTGGAAATCGCTTAAGATTCGGATAAAGCTCTCATATATATATTCTCGGCCGATTTTACATATTTGACGCACCAATTTCAATGAAAAATAGCCTGATCTTATTTTTCAGCTATAGGCTTTAATTTGAGTGTTAAATACCTATATGCTAAAGAACATCTATAAAAGCCCCATGTGAAAATTCTGTTCAATTTTTGGTATTGTAAAAAGCATTCAAATGAGCTATAATTTGAATTTTGTATTTCCAACGTTTAAAATCCCGTACTGCGTGGTATTTTGTTTTGTCCACCTCATACATGAAGGCAGAATGTTGTCAGAATAGCCAAAAAATTACTCTTTTGCTCCGATTACCGTAAGATGGGCATTAATTGTTTGTCATTTAAATTGTGCGGTGGAGATCCAATAAAGTTACTTTATAATTTCGTATTTTTTTCATGTTTCTGCCACAATTTCCGACTGAATGAGTCCCAGATTGACATTTCGGAGTTTATTTCACATAGACGTACATCCCAAATCTACGTTCCCAACCAATATTCTCTAAGGGGTTACAAATTCAATAGAATACTAAATTTTCATTTCTGACCACACATTGGTTGGGAAAGTGTGGGGACTATACTTAAATAAATGCCTATGTGGATAATTATCTGTAAGATGATTTTCTACCCCAGGGTTTTTTTTTACCCCAGGTAGCCTCAAGACTAAGACGCGTCCTTTTCCGAAAAATAAAAATTTTATAAGAAGAGATTTTCTTCCCCCTTAAAAACAAAGATGTCAAATAAGGGCCAAAAAATTTAAAAAGTTGCCAAGATGTAACGTGCTGATTTCATCACGTACATTTATACGAACAAACAACCGCACCTATTACACAATGAGAACAACAACAGTGGCCACTGCAAGTGTGACGCTAACAGCACCAACCAACCACCACCACCATGCACACACGACTCGGTCATACGCAGTCTACAAGGCGACAACAGCACTAGCCAACAAACGCAGCATTCATTGGGCGCGTGGTGAACAAAGTAGTTTTCGGTGGTGTGCTGCTCACAGCGTAAGGCTAAAAATTCGCAATGACTTGGTAGAACCGGTCACATATAGTGTTCGGTTTGAGGTGCGATAAAGCAAGGCTCGGTACTGCAGGAGCTTGCCAAAGGGTAGCTAGTGATTTTCTAAAGATCATCGGCCGTCCTCCGACTAATAACAGGGT